TCGGACCGGGGAGTAACATAGGCCAGGTGGCGTTAGTCTACCACTTCCGCTTTCGGGGGTTATGACCCCCGAGCGAAGCCGGGCATTCTTCTTGCGTATAATATTCTTCACTATCGAGATTCACGCTCAAGGAAACGAGAGAGGGAGAGAGAGAGAGAGAGAGCGAGAGAGAGATAGAGAGATGGTGTTTAACGTCCACTCGACACAAATTATGTCATTTCGGAACTAACATATTATGGTTTAATTTTATTTCAATAATTCGCTTGCGCGTAGGGGTCTTTAGCAGTGGGAGGAAACCCACGAGTTTGGACAGGCGACCCTACTCCTTGTCACGTAGAACCGGGAATCGAAACCACGCCAGTTGACTCAATGACAGGCCTTATGATACAGCGCGCACGTGCTAACCACTCGGCCATCCAACCCTCTCTTAAGGAAACGAGCAAACAAGTTACCTATATAGCCATACATTTTACTCATGGCTGTTGTTGCTGTTTATAGCAATGTATATATAATTGAGAGTCATCGGCATACAAGTGCTAGGTGCTGCCCCAGCTGTAAACAGTGGGGTCCACCAATAGCTTCTATACATTAATTAGCAACCAATATGATTAAAGCACAGATCCTATTTCGTTTCGGTTTTTATAGTTCAAAATTTCGTTTTACTTTACTACATTAGGATCTGGAAGAGTTGTTATATAACCCGCGGTCTAGCTGGTGTGAGGGATTAGCCAACGAAACGACCTGTTGCAGTGAGTACTTGGCGTACTAGAAACGTCAACGCTGATTGGTTAATCAAATGTTTCACGTCATAGGGTCAAAGCCACTCGTATAACCTCTGACGCCGCCTTCCACTACAATCGATCTTCATGCAGTAGAGGCCATCGAAAGTATATATATAAAAAAAACGAAACGAAATATAGATCTGTATTATAATCGGATTAACCATACAGTCGAACCATTCTAATAGTAAGTGCAGGGGGACTGCACCACACATAATTTACATAAAAACAAATACATGGACAAGACATCATACTCAGAAACCACAAATTAATAAACAAACAATTAAAAAAAAAGTGAATGGATCCGGGGGCTAGCACAGTCACCTATAAAACAAGTACCATCACACTTTGTACTAGGAACTGACGTATGCGTATGACGTCTTCGCAGACATATTGGGATTGTGACGTCATATTACAATCGAAGTCCGCCAATCGATGTGCAGTTGTACAAGAGAACAACCACGCTTGTTTAGTGGTCTAAATCTTTTTTTGAGAGAGTGTGTCAGTATGGGTTGATATATTGTATTCAGAGAAGTGCTTATATCTAACAGAACCATAAATACCGATACAACGCTTTTATTATCCGTTAAATAGCTTAGTTACCCCAGTGGTTTATATAGTTTTGATTCTGAGTTAAAAATTTGACGGGAAAAAAAAGCGTTTCCTTGAAATGAAATGAAATGAAATGGGGTTTAACCTCCTACTGTTCTGCTCCTAAACTGGGCTAATGAAGACGGGCATACGCCATACAGTGCCCTGAAAGTAGTGGGCTAGTCTAATTGGTAATTATGGTGGGGGGCGGAATGGTTAGCACGTGCGCGTTGTATCATAAGGTCTGTCATTGGGTCAATTGGCATGGTTTCGATTCCTCGGTTGTAGGTGACAAAGAGTAGGGTCGCCTGTCCAACCTCGTGGGTTTTCTCCGGTTTCCTCCCACTGCTAAAGACCCCTACGCGCAAGCGAATTATTGAAATAAAATTGAACCATAGGTTATTCCCGAAATGACCTAGTTTGAAGGTATTTTGATGTGAATATTTTCTTTGGGGGATTCCGAACATGAAACCAACAAACCCTAAAGATGTAGAGGGGGGGGGGGGCGCTTTAGATCAGAAGACCTATCGTTGAGTCTAGTGGCATGGGTTCGATCCTCCGTTGGCACGTGACAGGGAGTAGGGTCGCCTGTCCAACATCTTATGTTGTTTGGGACTCCCTCGATTTCCTCCCACTGCTAAAGCCCCCTAAGCCATAGGAATGATTGAAATACCCTCCTCGTTCCCTCTCTCTCTCGTTGGGGCGACGCTCTTCGAAAAAAGCCTAAAGGCTCCGCCAAATAATGTGGAATCAACAGGAAACTCTTCATATACTTAATTGTTTCATCGATGTGCGCTGACGTCATAGAGAGAGAGAGAGAGAGAGAGAGAGAGAGAGAGAGAGAGAGAGAGAGAGAGAAAGAGAGAAATGGGGTTTAACGTTCACTCGACACAGACTAAGTCATTTCGGGACTAACATATGGTTTAATTTTATTTCAATACTTCGCTTGCGCGTAGGGGCTTTAACAGTGGGAGGAAACCACGTACAGCCGGGGATTCGAAACCACGCCAGTTGACTCAATGACAGGCCTTATGATACAGCGCGCACGTGCTAACCATTCGGCAATCCCCCCATGACGTCATAACCAGTTCCTAGTTGCCAGTCGTCTTGTTAAAGGGGCTAAATCGCTAATAATAATAATAATAATAATAATGTAACATGAATGTATAAACCAATTTACATTCAATCGTTTCTGTTTCCGTTATGTTCGACAAAATACGCAAGAAGCCTCAATCTTATGGCAATCTCGAGCGTCTGATTATTCCAGTCTACACTGATAGTAGTTATTGAACATGATCTCGAGATAAAAAAAAAATAAACATGGTGGAAGTCGACGTAAAACTCTAGGAACGAACGAGATATGACGTCACCGTTTGATATACTTGTGGAATTATATCTAGCCTCGAGTCCCGTGATACAAATGGCGCTGAAACGCATTGCGGTACGCGATTCGTGTACCAATGGTAAAATGTTTATTTTGTCTTAAATATTGGATATCAGAAGCCCATTCTTTCCCGGTAAGATCACAACATCAATGTTGATTTAAATTGACAAATAATTTTTATTTTCAATGTCGAAGACTTTGGATGATATTAAGTTAAATTGACACATAATTCGTGTTTTCAATGTCGAAGACTTTTAGTGATATTGAGTTAGAGACTTCATGACTACATTACATAATCAATTTTAGTGTGAATTACGCCGTGAAAAATTTGATATTTTCTGAAATATAAAAATGAAACTTACAGATAAGAGCGGTTTTAGTTGGATCGATTTCTCGTAAAAATGGAATAAGTCAGCGCTTTCTTTTAAACATACCACATTAAGTACCCCATGTGACTATTTTTGCGTATCGCTTTTAGAGACATTTCACGACTTATTATTACTGGACGAAAAAGTACCAGGTCTTGCCAATGAGTAACCGTTGCGTGATGAACGAGTCTGAAACCATAACCATCAAAATAATATTGTATAAAATGTCACACCACATCATTGTAGAATAATAAAGATGCCAGCGTGTCTTTTTATAGATGTCAGCTTAGTTGGATATGGTTGTTTTTTTTTTATTTCGTTTCAGCAAGACTAGTTCTATTAGGGTTGAATCGAACATTTTATTTTAACACTAAAAGGTTAGAAATGTCGATATATATGTATCCTGCACTCGGCAAACCTCGGAAGATTCCGGAACCCTACATCTAGCCTCCTGTATCCTGTAGCTAACCGGTATCGGTTTATCTTGACATTCCATTCAAGTGAAATGGGTTTCAACGTCCTGTTTTTCTGCACCTACTTGGCTAATGAAGACAACTTATTGAAATATACTTTTCAAAAAAGTAGGGGATATTCAGAAACAATACAAAACTGCGGAAATGCACTGCTGTTTTTATTAGAGGTAACCAGTGTATGTTAATAACAGGCCAATTGCCTACACATGAACATAAACAATTCATATGGGCGACTTATCTGACGGCCCAATTTAACTCGCAAAGAGATACACCGTCAAAAGTGAAATGGACGTTTTTGATTTTTGTCTTAATAATGAGTAATTGCTCCACCAATCCTCAGACATTCAGCAATTCGTCGTGGCATGCTCCTAATCAACCGTCCAATCACGATTTGGGGCAATCTGACCCACCCCTTTTGCAGTGCAACGGCCAATTCTTGCAGTGTTGTCGGTTGACGTTGAAGTCGACGAACACGTCTTCAGATCAAATTAACCGTAACACACTAAAGCAAAGATACGCTAAACAGTAAATCTTATGTAAGAATCGATAGGAAAGCAAACATGGATAGATAAACTAGCCCGCGGCAGTTTTCATTAACTCTTCCTTGAAGTGTCCCACGTGTATGGCAATATTGCGTGTCGCATGTGCAGCTCAGTGGTTCTGTTGGGGCGATAAGTTCTTCATCTGTGAACATACTCTCAAAGCATGTCAAATGTCCATGACTATTTATTATATCGCAACCTGCATAGGTATTTGCATTTCAATATCCCCTACTTTTTTTGAAGATTATATAATTGAACCTTATGTTAGTCCCGAAATTACCTAATTGTGTCCCATTTTTCTCTCATTTGGGGGTTGTATCACAAGGTCGGTCATTGGGTCAACTGGCTGGGTTTCGATTCCCCGGTTGTACGTGACAAGGAGTAGGGTCGCCTGTCCAACCTCGTGGGTTTTCTCCGGGAACTCCAGTTCCCTCCCACTGCTAAAGACCCCTACGCTCAAGCGAATTATTGAAATAAAATAGAACCATGTGTTAGTCCCGAAATGACCTAGTTTGTGTCGAGTGGACGTTAATTCTCTCTCTCTCTCTGGTTTCCTCCCACTGCATGCTAATTAAGATCCCTAAAGCAAGCTAATTATTGAAATAAAATTGAACCATATGTTAGTCCTGAAATGACCTTATTCGTGTCAAGTGGACCCACCCCCTCTCTCCCCATCTCTCTCTCTCTCTCTCTCTCTCTATCAATATCCGTCTAGTAGATCATTGAATGTAATTTGAGCCTGACGAATCGTTATCATTTATTTACGGGTTATGCAGGAAGGAAATCTCTGACATTAAGAGTACCGGTAAAAAGATGGTTGATATTGTACTCAGTACATGGATCTTATATTTTTCTCTTTTCAGGAAGTGCGGGAGTCTGCTCGAGCGAATTCTAATGGTTGTATCAGATAAAAGCTAGATTTTATGAAACACTGTGTAATGCGTTGAAATAAGCCGTGATCTAGGTGCAAAACAGTTTCCTTAGCAACGATAATCAACGGTGGAGTTGGAACTGCATGCCGCTAAATATAGACCCACGTGCAGCCAATCAAGATATTGGAAAACTGTGACGTCAGGTGTGGGAATCTCTTCACGATGCCACCGCCAGTCAGTAAATCCACCACTACCAGTGGAGCGACTGGTAAGGTATCAACGACGGGTAGCTCCAGCAGTAAATCGACTTCGGTCGCAAAAACAGGGGCTAAGGCCTCTACCCTGACCCCTAAAGTGAAGATGGGTAACGGGGCCAGCGCCACACAGGTGGTGGTTGACGGGGAAACATACGATTTAGGCAAATTAAAGCTGGTTATTCCCGAAATGAAGACGGAGCTTAAAGACAAGGATAACAAAATTCGGAAATTAGAGATAGAAAGTCGCGATAAAACGAAACAAATTAACGAACACAGCAAGGAAATAACCCGACTGAAAGAAGAAGTACACAAATTAAAATCGGTGTTACAGTTAAAAGTACATAAGGACGGAAAACCGGATATTTTAGCGACAATTCAGGAATCGGAGACACCGCTTGTTATTCAGGAGGTACGGAGTAAAAAACAAGGTGTTTCCGGAGAAAGTTCGTCTAATTCTCAGAGTAATGTGGAATTAAAGCATCATGACAAAGATTTCAGGTAAGACAAATTTTTATTTATTTATTTTTAAAATTATATAAACTACATAATTTAGCAATTATCGGGTATATATATGTTTTTTTTTCTATATATCGGTTGTCATGCACGCGCCTATAATATAGTGAATTATCTGGATGTTGTTTATTACAAATTTAACTTCCAATACATAATGATGATATTATATATGGACAGACCTATATATGTATATATGGCACTGTTTTCAAAATATAGGCTATACCAGTAGCGAACATTAGGCATTTTACAGTAATGTTGATACACGCTTGTTGGGCTTTTTGGCGGGAGTTGGTGAGAGGGGTGTAGTAGCCATGTCTCCCCATTCACTGCACGATTCTAATACACGTGTCGTTGATATGATAGGCTAAATCTATTTGTTAAGGCCAGCTCATTTTTTGTCAAAGTCGTGGAGATGTAAATAAGGTTAGTGTACTTGATTATTGTCGAGATTGTGTTGGGGTTAGGGTGAGGGTTAGCCAAGGTTTGGGTTAGGGTTAGGATTAGCTCTAGCGCTGTTTACATCTCTCATGATCTATGACGAAAAATTGAGCTGGCTGTATATCATTTAGCAGAAATCCGTAGTTGATATATGAGCGTCATTCAGTGACGGGTTTGCATTCATCAGATGTCCGTAAAGACATTGTGAAAACCATTATATATATATGTTACGTACTAATTATAGTACTGAAATAGCTATGGAGGAATGACGGATATTTATTATGGGGGCTATATAACGTCACTAACAACGCGAATCTCCGTTTTGCGTATAATTATATAATCTAGAATTTTCGAATTATTTCAAGGTGTTCAGGATACATGCAGCCATCTTAGGGACGTATTTCTTACACCAGACCTTTTTGTGGACCAGTTTTGTCTTTAGTTCATGACGGAAATGAATAATCTTGGTGTTATAGCTCATCAAAATATTTTGACACCGTGTAACCAGATTAACACGTGCAGCAAATGGCGTTGCCGTCATAATGGTAGCCCTTGGAGAGGCAATTATCGTCCTTGGGCATGTTTCACGAAATTTTAAGTAAGATAAACTCCAAATTTTAGTAATTTGATTGGATAATATTAGACTGATTTTAGTGCTTAGCCATTCAAAATTGAAGTATCTACTAAAATTTGGATCTTATCTTTAGTTAAGATTTTGAGAAACAGGGCCCCAGTTTTCGTGTTCGGGCCTAGATCTATGTACTTCATAATAAACTGATTTTATTTATTAGCATGATTTGTATAAAAAAACCCAGCAATTACTAGCCACTGTTTGGGGCGGATCCATGGGGGGGGGGGAGATTTAGACGGTTCCCCCACCTCGACCCCGCTCAGCTACATATAAATGAAATGAAATGAAATGGGGTTTAACGTCCTACTGTTCTGCTCCAATACTGGGCTAATGAAGACGGGCATACACCATACAGTGTGCTATGAGGGAAATTTTCCCCGGGCAGCGGCACTATCGGCTACTCTTATATCGAATTCCAACTGCCAAGGGATCTTTTACGCGCACGCCAATGTGTAGCCTACACGGGACCTTGTTTTTTCGTCCCATCCAAACAACTAGACAGCTGTCCTTGTCAGGCCCTCTGTCCTGAATCACCAACAAGGGGGAACCACACCGGAAAACCTGGATGAACTTTCTCGGCCAATGCAGGGATCGAACACCCGACCTCCAGGCTAGCGAGCCAGCGTCTTACCCACTTAGCCACTGTGATCCCCTCAGCTACATATAAAAAATACAAAGTAAAACAACACTTTTTATGAGAAAAGTGTCATGGTTCTTTGTGTGCTTTATGTATATATTGGAATGCACGTAAAAGATCCCTTGGCAGTTGGAATTCGATATAAGAGTAGGCGATAGTGCCGCTGCCCGGGCAAAATTTCCCAAATAGCACACTGTACACCAGAAGCAGAACAGTAGGACGTTAAACCCCATTTCATTTCATTTCCTTTTATCATCAGATGGTAGGATGGGATGGGCATTCACATTCAGGGGGTTGGATTTCTCTGGGCCTGACAAATACAGCTGTCTAGTTGTTTGAATGAGACGAAAAACTGAGGTCCTGTGTACACATTGGCGTGCACGTAAAAGATCCCTTGACAGTTAGAATTCGATATAAGAGTATGCCCGTCTTCATTAGCCCAGTTCGGAGCAGAACGGTAGGATGTTAAACCCCATTTTATTGTCCCCCGCCTTTCGAAGAAAGCAGGGGACTATTAAAATGGGTTCGTCCGTCTGTCTGTCTGTCCGTCTGTCACACTTTTTGGGACACAATAACTCTCTTCCTAATTGAGCTAGAATGTTCAAACTTGGTGTATGTGTTTATTAGGTCAATGCCTTGATGGAGTTCGAAGATGAGCATTTTCCGCTTAGGGTAAGCAGAGATAAGCAATTTGATTGGTTGATGCTTTGGGACACGATAACTTTTAATTGAGCTAGAATGTTCAAACTTGGTGTATGTGTTTATTAGGTCAATGCCTTGATGGAGTTTGAAGATGAGCATTTTCCGCTTAGGGTAAGCAGAGATAAGCAATTTGATTGGTTGATACTTTGGGGCACGATAACTCTCTTCCTAATTGAGCTAGAATGTTCAAACTTGGTGTATGTGTTGATTAGGTCAATGCCTTGATGGAGTTCGAAGATGAGCATTTTCCGCTTAGGGTAAGCAGAGATAAGCAATTTGATTGGTTGATGCTTTGGGACACGATAACTTTAGTTCTAATTAAGTGAGATTGATGAATCTTGGTGTATAGTTTCATTACAGTAATACCTTGACTAAGTTTGATAATGAGCATTTTCTGCTCAGGGTAAGCAGAGCGATACGCAATTTGATTGGTCGAGACTTTGGAAAACAATAACTCTCCTACTTTGATTGTCCCCCGCCTTTCGAAGAAAGCAGGGAACTATTAAAATGGGTTCGTCCGTCTGTCTGTTTGTCTGTCTGTCCGTTCCGCGTGTCCTCTAATTATTTTCCTATTTCGGCGGGGGACATCAGCCTCACTGTTGGCTTGTTTCATTTCATTTCTCTTTAAAAAGCTCAGTGTGTATGTATGCCTACGTAATTTGGAGAGGATGATGGCACATGCATTGTCAACTGTCAAATTTCCGTAACAGGAACCTGGCAAACCCCCTCCTGCAACAATTCCTGGCTCTGGCACCGAACTGTTATCCTCAGTGATATCTGGTTCACTAATAATCTTTGTTACAAAACAAGGGCCGCTTGTCCAACCTCGTGGGTTTTCGCCGGGTCCCCCGGTTTCCCCCCACTGCTAAAGACCCCTACGCGCAAGCGAATTATTGAAATAAAACATTAAACCATATGTTAGCCCCGAAATGACCTAGCTAGTTTGTGTCGAGTGGACATTTAACCCCATTTCTCTCTCTCTCTTAAATACCTGACCCTAACCCTTACCCTAATAGAAAGTAGGAAGTTCCATGTGGACACAGTACGGACGGCTAACTGCTAGTTTTGGGGTGTAAAAGTGATGGAAATAGAAAAGGGAGTTGGATCAAACATGATCGAAGGATTTACAGATTATTTGAGGGAGAGAGAGGGAGAGAGAGAAAGGGGTTTAACATCCACTTGACACAAACTAAGTCATTTCGGGACTAACATATGGTTCAATTTTATTTACGTAATTCGCTTGGACAGGTGACCCTACTCCTTGTCACGTACAACCGATGAATCAAAACCACACCAGTTGACTCAATGACAGACTTTATGGTACAACACACCACATGCTAACCATTTGGTCATTTGAAGACTTAAAGTATTGGAAACTAATGATCAATATAACGTACTAAAAAGTAGATCAAAATGATCTCAGATTATTTTAAATGGATACCTTTCCTCCGATATCACCAGGAGGGGTGGATTTAGACGGAGTAATGAGGACCAAGAGTATTGGATCACAATATAATAAACTATTAAAGAGTTTGTTTAGAAAGAAGAGTAATTAAAAAGTAATTACACCCCATAATGTTACAATGTATGAGGTCCGATGGGTTAGATTAGTGTTTTAATAATATTCCACCAATACTGTTGTGGGTAGGTCAGTTGTTCTCAACCTTTTTTTTCGCCAACGGCACATCTTGGAACACATGAAAAAATACCTGACCCCGAGTGCACAAAGCATTTTCATACTTAAAGTAGCTATAAGTCTCTAACTCAATATCATCAAAAATCTTCGACATTGAAAACACAAATTATTTGTCAATTCAAATCAACATTGGTCTTGTGATCTTACAGGGAAAAGATGGGCTTCTGATATCCAATATTTAAGACAAAATAAACATTTTACCATTGGTACATGAATTGTGTACCATAATGCGTTTCAGCGCCATTTGTAACAAGGTGCTCAAAGAATGAGGCTAGACATATTCCACAAGTCATGTCAAATTGATAAATTGATAAATAATTTGAGTTTTCAATGTCGAAGATTTTGGATGATATTTATAGTTACGGACTTAGCTACTTTAAAGCTGACTGATTAATTTTGATAATGAGTGTCCAATTTACAAGTATTTAATTTCCTGACCACTGTTCAAAAATTAATCATTATACATCGATAATCAATTGGGTTGTTTATTGAGAAATTAAACACTTGTTAATTGGACACTCATTATTAAAATTGAATGGTCAGCTCTAAACAGGACACATGTACAAATTAGATGATTTTTGGTGATTTTAAACGATATTTTACAAATTTTTAAACAAAGAATGGGAGAGAAAATACACAAGATTAAATGATACCCGGGATACAGTGATAGTATGTCCCATGGTATCAGTTCGTAAATTCTGCTTACCAGGTAATCAGTGTTGAAGAAATATATATCCAAAAATGTTAGCGCAAATGTAAAATTGCACTGCTTTGTTACACAGTAAACAATCAAAAGTTCGGCCGATACATAGCGCAACCGTAAAATTGCACAGTAAACAATCAAAAGATAGGCCGATACAAACTGAAATGAAATGAAATGA